CTTGAGTTACAAGAAATACACGAAAGATTCAGACAGCATGATTAATGCCCAAAGCAAACTGTTTAATCCTATGAAGCATGATGAAGTGTCCCAACTAAGGCAGCAGATATTTTCAATTTTCATATTTGAGTAAGTATGTACTCAAGGAAAAATCCAATTTCCTCTCTTGAAGCGAGCTGGTAGAGCATGCGTGTGTCCTTAACTTCATTTGGGTACTGTTCTAAATTGATTTAAGAGCTTACAATTTTAAATTTATAAACTTTTCAAAACAGTGCAGTGTCTGTTGTCCCACTGTGGATGTTATGCATTACTATGGGCTACTGGTAAAGTTAAAGAAATCAACGAGAACACACAATTTTTAACTGAACTCTAGACTTTGACAGTTATGTTATTAGTGTCTTCTTTCTCTATCAGAAGCCAAACCAAGGTATCATATTGCAGTTACTCATTACATCTCCAGAGTTTCTCAGTTTTTCCAATTTTTTTTTTCATAATTTTGGCAGTTTTAAAGAACACTACTCAGATTTTTAATATTATTCTGATTGGATCGAGAGAGAGAGAGAGAGAGAGAGAGAGAGAGAGAGAGAGAGAGAGAGAGAGAGAGAGAGGATTAGATTTGACTACGAGCTTTTAGAATACCAATGCTTGCCCTTCTCAGAAGCCATACCATTGAGTGCAGGGCACCTTCCTGATGGTGGCAAACTTCTCTAGCTGGTGAAGGCGTGTATTTCCAAGCTTCTCTCTGGGAAAATTGCTAATCTTACAGACTTGGGCAGCTTGAGAAACCATAGCAAGCTGTGTTATTGCTGTAGGAGAAGAGTTTGCAGTTACTGAAGCACAACTATGAACTGTACAACCATTTGCTTGCTGCGTTTCCTTTTAGAATAAGTTTGTACCACTCTACAGTCTTTAAATTACTGTTCTACTGAAATTATTAATTATATATCTCAGAGTCTTTTGTCTTTGATTTCCAGGCTCAATGACACATGTTGGGGAAGTAACTTCACCTCTTGGCTTTAGTTTCTTATTTAAAATCCCATAAAGATAACAATAATATTTGCTTTACAAGTGTTGTTTTAAAGATGGACTATGCCAATATTGGGAAAGTGCTTAGAAGAGCATGAAACACATCCTGTGTGCCTTGGGATGGGTATAGAGGTTTACTAACATGCTCTTGTGTGTGTGTGTGTGGGGGGGCAACCCAGTAAAAGAGATAGCATGCTTCATGTTTACCTAGGATCTGTTACAAGCTGTTACAAGCATTATGTTTATCAAAGGGTGGAAAAATTCCAGACCTGTTCATGTTTATTCCGTACACAAAAGTTACAAGATCACATCTTTTGAACGACAATGTCCTATTTGCAAGATGTGCTAGTGCAATGGAGGCACAAACTTGTGGGAGTCACCAACCAATATCTGATTTGACTTACGGCCTACTCTACAATTAGAAAATAATGTGCCGTACTTTCCCAGTTTCAAAGAACTATTTCCATAGTTTTGGCAAATTTCCCATTAAACCTCAGAAAACAGTGGTGCCAGGGAGGGGAGCCAAGGACAAACATGTGCTCTTATTCATCAGCCAGTCATCCATCTTACAGCCTTCAGATGTTTTCTCACTTCCCTTTCTGGGATACAAATTTTCATCCCCCTTTAACCTTTCCAGTTATTCTTGAGGGGTCTATTGAAAGACATCTGGGGCAGGGATTGTTTAGGGAGGAGGGAATGATATGGGTATGACAGAGAGGTGAGAGCGGTGGGGGAGAGACTAATCGGAATGCATGGATACACGGATTTTATCACCAAACAACCAAGTTGGTTAATAAAAAGATTGTTAATTTTGTACATCCTTCCCAATAAGTAAGATAGTTATTTATTTACACTTTCTTTTTATAGACAAACTGAATGTAGAATGATGAAATAATTAATGATTTATCCCTCTCATCACACACACACACACACACACACACACACACACACACACACACACACACACATAATCCATCTACATGCACCTTCCAGTAAAGTATACATGGCCATTTCTTTCAGAAATCCCTAAACCCAATTTATTTTACTTTTTAAGCAAACCTTTGACTGATTATTTTAATTTAGAACTTTTCAACATTTTTTAAGTATGGTGGTCGCATGCCTGTAATACCAGCACTTGAAAGAGTGATTCAGGAAGTCTATTACGAGTTCAAGATCATCCTAGACTACATGGAAAGTGCCAACCAAGTTGGGCTGCAAATAGAGATCCTGCTTTAATCAATCAATCAATCAATCAATCAATCAATCAATTAATCAACCAGCCAACCCATCCATCCATCCATCCATCCATCCACCAATCAATCAACTCTATTTTTTTAGGTCTGCCACACTCGTCATGCTTGAGAACCTTCATGTTTCCACCTCCATTAGCACTTGGCGCTGTTTTGGTACCCTTCCTTTGAAGGACTTGAGTGACAGGGAAGGGTATGAAAGGGAAATGGTGAAGACTACTGGGGTTGTCATGCTCCCCTTAGTGTGCTGCGTGACACCACTGTCCAGCACACCTTCCCAGGCCTGACCAAACTTTCTGTCTGGTGGTGTTTTCACTCTGAGTACCGGTTACAATCAGGGATTTCGAATACTGATATTGTAGCCTTGATATGAAAGTTCTGCGTTAGAGTCTGCCCTGACGTCTTAAAGGCTCACTGTTGCTCCATCCTTAGGATGCTCTGTGCCGTGAGTGAGAATTAGGGTCAGTGGATAACAAAAAAAAAAAGTGTGAAAGAAAACTTGGGTAATACACCTTTCTGTTAGATTTTGTTCTTCTTTCACGGAAGGAATTACAACATGTTGGGTCTGTGTTTAGGCAATATTGGACAAACTTGTGTCCTTCTGTTTACTTAACAAACATCTGTGAAGCATCATGCTGACTCTTTACAAATGTAGACTCACACCTCAGTCTCTCTCATCCACACCGGGGTAGGCATGGAGAGGCTTGACAAATTGCAAATGATGTGAGGTGACCTAGTCCAGGCAGAGTTCCCTGCTCTGTGGTGGGCTGAGGGCTCTGGTTTGTCCTGATTGTTCTGGGCTGTGTGGAACACTGTCCTGGAGAGGCAAGCCTCTAACACAGGGAATTAATTTCTCATTTCCCCACTCCTATTATGTCTCTGTGAGAGAGGTTTAAGCCAACGTGACTCTTAAAACCTCTGTACCCTGAGGCTGAATCTAAGTTTTCTAAAACTTATGGCCAAAAGTGATGCAGACATTAAATTAAAAGATCATGAAATAGACCTGTCAATATTTCTAGAGAAAGATGGGCCAGACACCCAAGATTTGAAGACTTCGAGAGACTTGAAACAAATGAAACAGGATCTTAGGTGTGATTTGTTTTCTGTTTCCTGCACCAGGTTTTCTGCTCCAAGGACAAAGGCACTGCATACGGAGTACCTGCTAGGTGTTGTATGCTGAGTACCCACTGGGTGCTGCATGCTGAGTACCCACTCCCCACTGTCCATGGGTTCTGCTTTCCAAAGAGACAGAGGAGGTGAGTGCCTCAGCACAGCCCGCCCCACTTGCCCCTGAGCTTGGGCAGTGGTCCTGAACACTTCAAAGACCAACTCTGAAGCCCTTGTATTAGGAAAAGCAGATCTCTGGACACTTTCAATTTCAGAAGTTCTAAGACTGCAGAGAGAAGGAGGAAGTAATGCAGACACACACAGCAAAAAGAGGTCATGTTACAGCCACACACACACCATCCCTGAAATGAACACAGATTCAACTGTGGATGCCGATCTGTTTGCACCAAGTTGAAAAGATGCTGTAAATGTATTTGAAAAGATGAAACAATGGAACAAGGCAAGCGTCCTCTGAGGCTTGCAGTGCTGGCTGAATTTTTGATAGAACCGATTTCATATGTATATGAAGTATGCAAAATTTAAAAAAGTATGGAAAGGCAAGATACCACAGGATCTTGTGTCTCCGTGCAAGCTGCAACTAATTCACAATAAGCAAGATATGGCAACAGCTAGGTGCCTATCAACAAACGAGTAGATAAGGAAAACATGGTATGTGTACATAGTGGCGTTTTAGTCTGACCTAAAGAATGAAATGATCATTTACCAGAAAGTGGATGGAACTGGAGAACACGCCAAGGGAAGGCAGCCAGTTTCAGAAAGACAAATATTGCGTGTTTTCTCCCATAGGAGGACCTAGATTTCTGTATATATGCATATAAGTCATAAAGAGGGGAAATAAGGGACCAGCTGGGAGCGGGAGTGGGGGGTAGTAATAGAGGAGGGCAGTGAGGGTGGTGAATATGAGAGAATACGATTGTGTGTGTGTGTGTGTGTGTGTGTGTGTGTGTGTGTGTGTGTGTAAATGTCAAAATAAAACAAATCACTGGGTGTCCAACTAATATTTTGCCTTTGGAACTTCACCTAAAAAATAATTAAGGACAGAGACAGAAAGCATGTATACATAAGACGACCAGGTGGAAACCTCAGTTCTCCCAGCTCTTCCTGAACAGCAAATCCTTCAGCCCCAAACCGTCACAGAGCTGTTTTTCTCTATTGGCCTCTCGCCACCCAGTGGCGGATTTATTTCTACCTTCAACCTCAGCTCTTCCCTCCCTCTTGCTCCAATGCTTTGGAGTCCCTGCACAAAGATCACATCACAGGTGGTCCCTCCAGCTCCAGCAACACTCACTGTTGTTTGCAGGGTTTAGGGAGGGCTTGAGGCAGGACTCGAACATCCCAGGCTCCCCAGTGGGCAAGCAGGGCTGGAGGGAGAGGCTAGTAGCACGCGCGTGTCCCCAACACACTCATCCCTCGAGCATAGGGGTGTGGCTCTGTCTTTCTTCTGACACCCTGACCTGAAGCTCCAGGAATTTCCCCAGCCTGGGGTTCGGGCTTTTCCAGCCACCATGAATAAAAGGGGCTCACAGGGCCCTGGAGCCCCATTCGCACCACAGAGCCTCCAGCCAGCTCCTGCGCTCCAGACTCCAACCACACTCCCTTCTCAGCGCCATGGCCCCAGCCACCCGCCCGCTCCTCAGCACAGCGATGCTGGTGCTGCTGCTGCTGCTGCTGGCCACCAGCCACCAGGCTGCAGGTGGGACCCGCGGCTGCCATCCCTGGAGGAGCCTCAGGTGGGCGCAGCCGCCCACAGCCCCGCTGACCCAGTGTCTTTTCCCATAGGGACGGTTGTGGCCAGTGAGCTGCGCTGTCAGTGCCTGAGGACCCAACAAAGGATCGATTTCCAGGACATCCAGAGCTTGAAGGTGACGCCCCCAGGACCCCACTGCACCCAGACAGAAGTCATGTGAGTGTCTCCCCGGCCAACCTCTGCCACTGCCAAGGTCGCCCAGACCCTCCTGTTGCCCCATGCTCACCCAGTGAGACCTCAGGCCTGATAAGGGTCCTCCTTTCTCTCTGCAGAGCCATTCTCAAGGATGGTCAGGAAGTTTGCCTCGACCCTGAAGCCCCCTTGGTTCAGAGGATCATCCAAAAGATACTGAAGACGTGAGTGATGTTTTGTTTGCATTTTGTGAACCTCATAGGAGTCCTGACGTTAACTACATTAACTACACCAGGGAAAGTCACAGAACTACAATCTTGCTTATTATTTTTACAATTGAAGTAATCCTACTGATAATTAGTCTGTTGTGGTGCCGGAAAGATTTTTCCAGGATCCTTTATCCCCACCTGGAGCCTATCCCCGTTGTATGAGAGTAGATAGTACTGCTTTTTAAAAATTCTCATCTCCCCCAGGCTCGCACACCCAGTTTATTCTGAAAAGCAGGTCCTTGGTGTTCGGAAACAGGATTCTAATATTTAGTGAGGAAAAGCAGGGATTTTGCTGTGGCTCAGGAATATATTTATATCCGCCACCAAATCCTATTTATCCATCTATTTCAGGAAAATTTAGCTTGAGACTTAATAAAAATGAAAAATAATAGTTCTCCGTGAGCTAAATGAGACCTGGTATGACAGACAGACAATAACTTTAGTTTTTTGAGACCCTAGATTCCCACTCCACCTCCATCCTGAAGGAGCGCATCTACTAGAGCTGCGGTGTCTGCTCTACAGCACAGCCGCCACAGGCAGAGGCCACTGGGGTCAGGCTGTATTCAGAAAACCCAGGAGAAAGAATTCTGTGCACCTAATAAAGATATCTGTTTTCTCATGACAGCATCAGGTCCAGCTGAGCCACGAAAGGAGGAAGCCCCTGATCCTGATGAAGGACCTGCCTTCTAAAGCAAAGAGGAAAAAATTGATCCTTCCAAAGACCGTCGGGATGAGGCTTCGCCTGCTTGCTTTGAACAACTCCCGAGAGTCCATATGTATTTATTTTCCCCAAAGTGTATGTTGTTAATATTTTATATGTAAAATAACTAAGGGTATAATTGAATCTACTTGCAAGATGCTATCATATTTACTGTTTATTTAATATCAAACATAGGTTTCATCAATCCTCATTCTTAACTTGAAGGTTAAAGGTTTTCAGATTCTCTCAGGGAATTGTATTCATATTTCTGAGGCAACCATCCCATGCTGACCATTGTGGTGATCGCTGGGGCAGTCAACAGGCAAAGGAGGCCATTTAATGTAGGGAGAATATATGTGCACATCTACTTTTGTACCGATAAAAGATTATTAGTTGTTATTTATTGAAATGGCTTTACAGTGTCACAATGAATGATCAACTTTGTGTTGAAGCTTCAAGAATTGTAATGTTCTGTATATTCCTTAGACATTTTAAGTGATTTCTGTAAGTCTCAATGACTATTTAATGCTTCTATGACTTAGAACTCAGAGGTTTAAATATTTATTGGTATTTTTACAAAGAATTTGAAAATAAAATATTTAAAAAATAATCCTTGTTTTATTTCCTTGGAAGGCTATTGCTAGAGGTTAACCCAGAAACATCATTGTTTCTCAAGTTTTCTTCCTGCTTCCCAGGCATTCAGTTGGCTACAAAAATAAATCACTGTAAGTCATGGCTCTGTTCACTTGCTGGTGGCACTCGTTCCCCACCTAAGAATTTACTTTTCCAGTACTGACACCTGGAGATTCCCCACCTTCCCAATTCGAATTCCAAGGCATCTGATACCCTCTTCTGGCCACCGAGGGCACCAGGCACTCACATGGCACACAGGCATACATGCAGGTTAAACAGCCATACGAACAAAATACATCTTTAAAAAAAAAAAAAAAAAGAAAAAAGAAGTTCCTTGCTATCTTGCCACCCAAGTTTGTCTCTTTATGTACATTCTTGTAGCCAACTAAACAACCTAATTCCATTGCTTTTACTAAGTAATTTTTTTCTTTCTATTTTTTAACTTTCTTTTTAAAATTTAATTTATTTATTTTACATCCCGATGGCAGCCTTTCCTCCTCCTCTCCGCCCACTACCTTCCCACTTCCCTCCACTCCCCTCATCTACCCCTCCTCTGCTCAGAAAGGGGCAGGCCTCTCATGGGCATCAGCAAAGCATGGCATATCAAGTTGCCATAAGACCTCCCCCTGTATTCAGGCTGGGCAAGACAATCCAGCATGAGGAACAAGTTCCCAAGGGCCAGCCAAAGCACTGGGGACAGCCCCTGCTCCCATTGCCAGGAATCCCACAAATAGACCAAGCTACACAACTGTCACATTTATACAGAGGGCCCAGATCAGTCCCATGCAGGCTCCCTAGTTATTGGTTCAGACTCTGTGAGTTCCCATGAGCCAGGCTAGCCATTTCTATGGGTTTTCCTGCAATGTCTCTGATCCCCCCCGCCAGCTCCTACAACCCCTCCTCCCTCTCCTCAAGTCTTCAACATCCTTGTCAGCAGAACTTCCCAAGCTCAGCCCCATGTTTGGCCATGGGTCTTTGAATCTGCCTCCATCAGTCACTGGATGAAGGCTCTCCAGTGACAACCGGGGTAGTCAGCATTCGATCACAGGGGATGGCCAGATAAGTCTGTGCATCTACTACTGCCAGGAGTGCAAAGTAATTTTTCTAACAACTGTTGACAATGTAATGAAATTGACAGTGAAATGGTGGCAAATTTGGTAATTTTTCCTTTGAGCTCAATTGTCTTACCAGAAGCAGAAAAAGTAAGTAGTCGAGTACTTCACTTTACAGAAGGGTCTGAGATTTGAGTTCAGCACTCAACCTTATTATGTATGAAATTACTACCCATTTCAATGCTCTAATTCTTTATATCAATATATAGAATACTGATATATAGATTCATTTGGTTTAACTATATCGGTCCTCACCCCTCTTGGTGACATTTTTATAGACCTTGAAAGAAAGCCTTTGAGTGGCTTTTATACATCGATGCCCAGGATTGAAGCTGCACCCCAGTTTCTAAGGACAAAATTGTGGGAAAAAGAAAACATCTCAGTAGTCTAAAGCTAAACTCCAAATTTGGAAATGGGAGTCTTTTGTGTGTGCATCTGTGGAGTACTCTCTTATTTCCCGTTTAGGGACTTAGGACTTATTAGGAAATCCTGAATTTGGGTAAATGTTTCCCACAGAGGCAAGAGGGCAGCACTGGCAGCCTGAGTATCTGAGATCTTTCAACTTGTTCCAACCTGAATAAATAAGGCCACGGGTAGCAAGAAACAAGCTCTGTGGACTCCCTCTCCCGACCTAAGGGTTGAAAGTTATAATAATCTATCTCCTACGTTATTGATTACAAATGATTCAGGAAAGAAGAAAGTTTGTAAACCACACAAAAATAAAATGCATTGAAACCCATTTAAAAGCTCCATAATGCTGGCTTTCCCTTCCTAACTTCAAGTGAGAGGGCTCTGGAAAATGTTGAGAAGAGGGAACCCAAGGTTTCAGTAAAGCCATAATTCACACCTAAGACCCTCCAGCATTGGATCTTGCTCTGTAGGCTTCTATGTCCTTGTCAGTAGTAAACACAGGATGCAAGAAGGACAGAGGTCATCCTTAGGGTGGTTCAAACCAGGTTTCAAAGTGTCAGGTTGGCTTTGGAGTCAATTACAATCCTATCATAATCTTAGGCAACTTTTTTGGCTTCAATCAGCTTAATTTCCCTTTCTAAATAGAATTCAGAAAGAACAAGAATGTGTCTTCTGAAATAAGGAGGAGAATAAATGTCAATGTTCAAAAACTATGATTATTTGCTATTACTCTTCAGACCAATTCCAAAGATATGTCTCAGTTTCCAATGAAATGGATATGAAAAATGTAGCTTCCTCATCCAATTTCCCTGAGACTTAGAAACTGCCATATTCTCCCTTCAGGAATGCTGGATGATTAAGAACTAGCACACAGGACATGTGAGGTGGTAGTCACTGGTTGAAGGTAACAGGAAATGAAAATGATGTAACAGCACAATTTCATGAGTCTGGCTACTGGAAACACCAATGGTGACATGGTTGGGGCTCCTGAGTAAGGCCTCCAAGAGAGATAGAGAGAGAAATAAAGATGGCTGACACTATCCTGTCCTTAGGAGCTCTGCTTTGTGAGTGCTCCAGAGTCATCTGGGAGTCCTGGGACTCCCAGAAGTAACCAAAGAACCACTAGGGATGATAGAGGTGGAAGATCACAACCATACAATATGGCAACCCAGGAAAAGAAATGACGCCATTTCTCTGCCCACACAAAGAATAAGACAAAGAGCCTGTCTACTAATAATCATCGATGTTCCCACACTCAACAACTTTTCAACTTCATGTCTCTGCCCTCCTGGCTGAGGCTCCCTCATCTGAAGGAAGAGCAGACATGGCAGATGGTTTGCTGAACTCACAGACAGGAAAATCTGCGATGCAAGGCCCTCAAAAGCATCCTTCAACCCTCCCCAACCCCAGGGTGAGTGGCAGTTAGTAGATGAAGCCTGCATTCTTTCTAGCCTTATGGTGTGTATATTTTCCTGAAGGATATTTGGCTGTTTACTTTTACTCCCAAATGACTTAAATGGAGGGACAATTGTGGGGAATGTTCTACAAGTTTTCCTGGTATAAAAACAAGAAGCTTAGTTGCTCACCTTGCTCCTCATCATTATGCTATTTACTGCCTTGCTCTCTTCTCTCCCTCTGCTTCTGCCTTCTCTCACTGATTCTTTTTGGGATATAAATCTTTGTATCAGATTCTGCTTTCAAAGGAAACCATATTTGGATACTCAGGCTTCCCAGAAATTAGACTTCAAGGTAAAGACTTATGCATTGTTGTTTTATTAATGAGTAGACTACCCGAGAAAAGGGGGTTGGGGTTGGGGAGAGAACATGAAGTGAGTCAGGGAATCTGAAATCCCGCAGGAGATACACATTGTAGTATGGCCAATATCATCAGGGTGGAACAGCACTCCATGCCCAGTTTCAGCTGAGCCATGGGTTTCTTGGGGAGCCATTTGGAGTGTTATATTCTTATTCTGCATAAACTATGAAACCAATTTAAACCAAGAAATTATTTACATTAATCTCATAAGTTGTCTAAGGAGCCAGATGTTAGTCTTTGGCTCCTCCCTCCCTCCCTCCCTCCCTCCCTCCCTCCCTCCCTCCCTC